CGTGTCTCGCAAGAGTGAAGAAGCTTGGCTCTGGCACCACAAGCTGTCTCATCTTAATTTCCAAAATATAGAGAAGCTTGTGAAGAATAATTTGGTTGATGGACTTCCTGCCGTAAAGTTCAAAAAGGACCATCTCTGCTCTGCATGTGAAATGGGAAAGCTCAAGAGAGCATCCCACAAAACTAAGACAGATGTATCCTCGGTCAGACCTCTGCATATGCTTCATGTGGATCTTTGTGGTCCAATCTCTGTGTAGAGCCTGTCTGGTAAAAAGTATATCTTAGTCTTAATTGATGAATACTCACGATATACTTGGATTGAGTTTGTAAGACAGAAATCAGATGTCCCAGAACCGCTAATCAAATTGATGACCAAGATTCAAGTACTTCTACAAAGAAAAATTCAGAAGCTGAGAAGTGATAATAGAACAGAGTTCAAGAACACCAAGATTGATGCGTACTTGGACACAAAAGGCATAACTCAGAACTTCTCTGCAGCAAGGACACCACAATAAAATGGTGTCGTAGAGAGAAAGAATCGAACTCTGGTCGAAGCAGCACGAACAATGCTAGCCAGCTCTGGTCTTCCAACCCATTTTTTGGCAGAAGCAATCTCGACCACCTACTTTATTCAAAATAGAGCAACGGTGATAAAGAGACACATGAAGACGCCTTACGAACTAATCAACCAAAGAAAGCCTAACGTTAAATTTTTGCATGTCTTTGGTTGCAGATGCTTCATCCTGAATGATCGAGATCAACTTGGCAAGTTTGATAAGAAGGCAGATGAAGGCAAGTTCCTTGGTTATTCCACAAAGGCCAAGGCATACAGAGTCTTCAATCAACGAACCAAAACGGTCATGAAAAGCATCAACGTCTCGTTCGACGATAAGGAACAAGTGACTTCAGAGTACCTCAGCTCTGGACTCGAGCTTAACTCGTAGACTTCCAATTCTCAAATGAAGTCAAGGGAATTGGAACTCAAGTTCTTATTTGAAGACTTCTATGGTGATGAAGACATCTATGTACGTGCACCAAGAGATGAATCTGCGAGTGTAAGTGAAGAACTACAAACAACAAGTACATCTGTATCTGGTCCTTCACACACCTCTGCTTCCTCTGGAGATCATATCCATCCACAACCAGAGCAAACAAGCTCTGAATCAGAGCCCAGTCTTGTAGAGCCAGAGCATGAAACCTTTGGTTCTGCACCTGGTTCCTCTGTACCATCATCCGAGGGGGAGCAAGCAGAACCTTCTTCGCCATCAACGAGCTCAATGCCAAACATGCCTATGGAACTTGATCAAAGGTCCCCTACTTTTGTATTTGTCCCACGAACAAGATGGACAAAGGATCATCCTCTTCACCAGATCATTGGTGAACCTTCAAGTGGTGTAAAGACACGGGCTGCCACAGCTAATGAATGTTTATTTGTAAACTTCCTAAGCATGGTAGAGCCTAAGAAAGTACATGAAGCCCTACAAGATCCTACTTGGGTTGACGCCATGCAAGAAAAGCTCCAACAATTCGAGAGGAATAAGGTATAGACTCTTGTACCTTTACCAAAGGATAAAATTACAATTGGATGTAAATGGGTTTTCAGAAACAAGAAGGATGAGGATGGGATTGTAGTAAGAAATAAAGCTAGGCTCGTAGCAAAACGCTATTGCCAGGAAGAAGGCATAGACTATGACGAAACCTTTGCGCCAGTAGCAAGGCTAGAAGCTATACGCTTGTTCTTAGCCTTCTCTGCTCATAAGGGATTCTGAGTCTATCAAATGGACGTGAAGTCAGCCTTCTTGAATGGTAAGCTGAAGGAAGAAGTCTACGTTCAGCAACCTCTGGGGTTTGAAAGCTCCACACACCCATAGTACGTCTACTTCTTGGACAAAACTCTGTATAGACTTAAGCAAGCACCTCGAGCCTGGTATGAACATCTCTCATCTTTTCTCTTGTCTAATGGCTTTGAAAAAGGTAAAATCGATACAACTTTGTTTATAAAGAGGTATAAAGGTGAGATTCTCTTAGTACAGATATATGTGGATGACATTATTTTTGGTTCAACGAACTAGAGGCATTGTGATAAGTTCTCTGCGCTGATGAAGAGTGAGTTTGAAATGAGCATGATGGGAGAATTGACATTCTTCCTCGGCTTGCAAGTAAAAAAGAGGAAGGATGGTATTTTTATTAGCCAAGATAAGTATGTCTCTGACATATTAAAGATATACCAACTCCACAACTCTTCTACTATGATAACACCAATCGCTACGGGAACCAAGCTTGACATAGATCCATCTGGAAAACTGGTGGATGTCAAGACTTACCATGGAATTATTGGATTGCTACTATACCTCACGGCTATTAGACCAGACATCATGTTTGCCACATGTCTCTGTGCACGTTTTCAAGCAAATCCAAAGGAATCTCACCTTTCGGCTATAAAAACAATCTTTAGATACCTCAAGGGAACTCAATTTTTGGGTCTCTCGTATCCAAAGCATTTTGGTTTTGATCTTATTGCATACATAGATTTTGATCATGCAGGTTGTAAACTTGATCGAAAGAGTACATCAGGGAGCTGCCAATTACTTAAGGACAAGCTCATAAGCTGGACCTCAAAGAAGCAGAACTACGTCTCTACTTCGACAGCTGAAACAGAGTATATAGCTGCAGCCAGTTGCTGTTCCCAAGTGATATGGATGAAGACTCAACTGAAAGACTATGGCGTCGAGTTTGAGAAAATTCTAATCCTGTGTTATTAAGAAAGTGTTATCGTAATCACAGCCAATCCTGTGCAACACTCAAAAACAAAGCACATCGATGTTCGTTATCATTTCATCAAAGACCATGTAGAGAAAGGTACGATTGAAATGTTCTTTGTTAGTACAGATTTACAACTTGCTGACATTTTTACAAAAGCTCTTGACGAAAAGATATTTAACTTTCTGGTTATCAAGTTGGGTATGCTCAATCTTTCAAACTAAGCCAGAGCCTCTATATGTACTATACAGAGCCTCTGCATCCCTTATGCATACTTCTGTTTTGTTGTTTATTGTATTGTTCCATGAGACTGAGCCTCTGCATAGTACATGCAGAGCCTCTTGCTCAAGTCCTAGTTTTGTGATAAAGAACCTTTGTATAGTACATACAGAGCCTCTGTAGCTTGGTTCTTATGCATGTGCAATACTTATCACATATGATCCAAGCATAGTTCAAGGAGGAGCAGATAAGAAGAGCTCAAGTCAAGGGGGAGCACCAGATCATGACACACAGAGCCTCTGTATGTACTATATAGAGCCTCTACCTCTAAACATAGCAAGTTTTCTACAATAGTACATGTATAGTCCAATCACGAGTCTTTGTATAAGATCCTAAGGTATGTTGTCTTCCTCTGTATGTAGTACTCTGGTTCTTTACAAAACATCTATTTCACTCTAACCAGCGTATTTATACTTGTTAAAAAATTTGTTCAAATGAAAATATATTATTTTATTAAGAAGGCATACGGTTCTTTATTTTTTTATTTTTTTATTACCTGTCATTTACTATAAGCATCACCGCCTGTAAACTTAACTTTTCTATCTTTAATTCGATGTAATATCCATTTCAAATAGTATTGTACTTCTTTAGATGGTAAATGTAATTCAGAGGTTTCTTTTAACCTCTTACTTCAATTAGAGACTCTATTTTCTAATTCAAGTAAGAGCCTGCCTTATTTACACTTGGGGGAGATTGTTAGACCCCATCTTGTGAAAGTGTGAGTAAGAAGTCTCTTATTCTAGTCGAATAGGACTTAGTCTATTTGAAGCGGTCTGGACTAAGAGCTCTCATGCAGAAAATCAAGAACCAGAGCTCTTACTCAAGAGTGAAGGTTCAATTCATACAGAGCCCGCGCTCTATCCCTGTGGACGCTCAAGACTTGTGCGCCAAAAAGCATAAGCGCTTGACTTAAAGCTACAACTCCAAGACCCAAAGCCTCTGCACAGTACATGCAGAGCTTCTGCATATGCAGAGCCTCTACATAGTACATGCAAAGCATCTGTATGTTCATGCAGAGCTTCTGGCTATCTTCTCCACGGAACGCGAGCGTGTTAGCCCAGACATTCTCGCATGCATCTAACAAATTTAAGGCGGCTTGACCAAGTTTGTTCCGTTTTTCAAGGGAAGTCAAAGATAAGGACGCAGACCAGTCAGCTTAGAGTTTCATGCCTATTTTATAGCATAGTTTGTTAGACCTAGGCGTATATAAGGAGGCTTCCACCTCTGGTTTAAATTACCTGAAGGAACCGACTTACACTATACGCATTTTCTGTGAGATTGCGTTTTGTGATTTCATTGTTCATCTTTCTATCAATAAAAGCATTCGGCATATTCAAGTTTATTCACTATTCTTACTTTCATCTTGAATATCTCGTTTAATCAATCAAGTTACACTATTTGAGTTTGATTCTTATATTTCATAAACTGTGTTTCTACCAATTAAGAGTATATGGGTTCAACAAACACAACTCCTCATTTCATGAGACTCCCTCGTAAATGAGACTATGACTTCGTCTGAAAGGGCTACTACGATTCTGGTCTGGAAGGGCTACTACGATTTGGTCCAAAAGGGGCTGCTACGATTGGATCTTGATAAAGATCACTATGAATATATATATATATATATATATATATATATATATATATGTATATCTATACTACATATATAACCATTTAGACACTTATCTTAATTACAAACAGCAAGGCACAAAGTACTGCCATTTTATGCATAAATTTCAAAAAACTCTTAAAGACAAGTTATAAAGCATAATGTACAACTTGTTGATGCATTGACTTTATACCCCTCCACCATCACCACCAAATAAGAATGCTTCAGACTTTCTTTCTTCCAGRAAAAACTCCCCAGACCCTATTTTCAGCTCCCACCTTTCTTCATCATGAAACCCACCCTTCTTAACAGAGAAACCCAAGTCTGGATCGTGAAACAAACGAGRAGAATCATCTAGCATCCGGTCATCGCCAMCAGACATATCCGTTCTTCACAAATCGTTTTTTACATCCACCAAGCAGAAACAATGTTCCGTTCAAAGCTTTCGAAGCCAGATCCAAGATCCGTAAGTTTATTTTCTTATTCGTTCTTCATTCACCTCACTTGAAGGTCTTGTTCTATAACTTTTTTGATTTTATAGAACATATTTTGTTCAATAAGTTTTTCTTGTTCTTCACTAACTGATCTGCTCCTCTAGATCTAGCCTTTCTATAATTTTTTTTGATTTWAGATTTGATTCAAGGTTTTTTTACATTTTAGTGTAGATTTTTTATTTAGGATTTCTTTGAGGGTTTAATTATAGGGGTTATTTAGGTGATGATTTTAGGGTTTCTTTCAGGGTTTTTCTACGTTTAYCATGAAGAGATCTAATGATCGTTGCTGAATTTATTTAGGTTTGAGATATATTATGCTGCCTTTTGATCTGATCATATCATTGTATTCAGGAGTCACTACCTATGGAGCTGCTTTTTGTTTATGGTACTTTTTGCTGTTATACCCACTCTCTCATTCAAGTAAATAAATCTCTTCAGTTCATCAAAGAAGTTTCACTAAAAAGGAAAATCATTTGCATGGATTTTTTCTCTCTACTTTCTCTCTCTAGAACTTTTGATGTTTTTCTGGGTTTCGTTTTTGTTTGGTTACAATGGAAGATCATCCTATTCGTTTGAAGAAATCCTTACATAGGAAAACAAGAAAGAATCGGTTTTCTAATCCAAGATATCTGTCTCATCATCGTTTGCTCATGAGGAATAGAGTGGAGTTTCGTCTTGAGAGATTGAATCAAATAAAAAAGAACATGGACAAGCATAGAAATGCTCTGATGCTTAAGAGTCGTTCTTCTCCACCTTCAGCTTGCTATTCTCGTAATGGAGATATTTCTTTGGAGGTAAGTGATATTCCTATTCCTTTTTCTGTTGAAACTAATGGGTTTTGTGCAGGTAGTGAGTTTAATGGAGAAAAGGATGGAGAAAATCACCAACTTGCTGTCGTTAAAGGTGAAGTGGGTCTTGGTCTCCAAGCTRAGTTATGCAAAAATCAGGCTGTTAATCCTCATGGTTCGAGTCTTGCTGGGATTCATATGAAGGAAAAAGATGAAGATCTTCAAATGTTATCTGGGTCACTCAAGAACATGYAAGTCATCTTCTCCCATGTTGATGGYAGGGACCCTACACTGTTGCCTGGAAATTTTTTGGAGCTTAGCCAACTGGATGAAGCCCCAAGGGTCATCTCTGCAAAAAAGCTACAGCTGGACCCCCCCCCATGTTTCAATTTGGAAAAGTCCAATGCTCTGAGAATAAAGAGGATTTATTTTCCTTTTTTAACTATAAACCATTAAAAGTTGATGGGGAGGATGATGATTTCGGTCAAGAGAAAGTTGATGGGGAGGATAAAAGCCTTGAGGGTAATATTCAAACTTTATTGGTTGGTGGTCTCGAGGATAAAGCACAACCGACAATTTCTATTTTGGTAGGGATTCATGATGGATTGGGAGAGGGCCTTTGTCCTATGGATATTACACTTGAGATTAAACTTTATTGGGAACATCHTTTTGTAAAATTATCAATGAGTAAATACATAATATTCCAACCAATATGATAATAATTGTAATTGTATTGGAGGGAATACATTGTAAATTATACTTTAAAAAACTGATTATTTTGCTTACCTTTGTGGTGAAAATTTGTTGGAATGAAATATCATACCCATAATAACAAATAACAAATTATGCTTCAATTATTCAAAATTGTGATTCATACAAACTAATGATTCAAGGCCAAACTAATATTTATAATTATGATTTACCCGCGCTGCATCGCGCGGGTACACCACTAGTATATATATATAT